CGATTATCGCCACGCGACTATCGCTGCAATCGCTCCAAGCAAAATAGGCCTTTAACCGGGCAATTTTTATCAGCACATCGGTTTAACCGGACTAGGTCGGCAGGAAGTGGGAGGTAAGCGTTACTGAAACGACTGTTCTTGTGTTAAGGATATGAGAACAGTGATTATGCTCTACTACATTTTAGTCAATATACAGTATGCATTTAAACGGTCAGTTTTAATGAGTTTGTGGGACGTCAGTTTAACGAGAAAACCCATTATCCGGACTGACCTCGGTCCCAAGAGTCTGGATAAGAGGGAGTCTATTGTACTGTACATTTTACTATGTTATAGTGACACGAATAAAAAAATAACAGCCAAAACTTCATGCAATAACCCCATAGTACCACATACAATATGTTTAATAGTGTGAACTACGCTGTAGGCTTCACATTGAATGTGTTGCCCATGTTTATTAAATTAACCTAAAACAGAGTTTTTTTGTTACAGAGTCATTGATTGAGGTGCTGGTGAACTAATTGAAGACTTAAAAATGTTTTGTTATTAGTGTGAGGTGTGATAGTACGGACTGTTGTGATAAATTACCACTGTTTATGATTTACTTTATATGTTTTAAAATAAATGTTCTACATAAACTATTAAAATTGAATGATCATTTACAATGCCACTATTTCCAGCTGTAATAATTTTTTTATACTTCTTTTAATTATTTTGTACTTTGTTTCTAAACATAAGTTCTGATGTAGTCAATATTTGCATAATATGCACTTTCAAAAATATAAAATAGTAAACACAACAGCTTTTTATATACCATTGTTATTATTTATTGGTGTTTTTGTATTGCAATCGTTAAGTTGCATGCGTAGTTGCAGATACATTGGTCTGTTTAAATGTATAAAGGGACTAAAATAATACTGAAAATTCCAGACTAACATAAAGATTATTCAAACAAAGGAGGTTGAAGTATGTACAAAATTCCAAAAACTCTTATATTGAATTTGGTAAGTTTAATTTGATACCAAATATCGTTGACCTTATTTACTATATTTTCTCTGGATGGTATTTCAATTTATTTTATAGTTGAAATGATTCTGCTCCACTCAAATTCCAGGGCATGGACTGCAATCAACATCTGCCAACATCAAATTCGAGAAAATCTAAAAATTTGTTAACTCACTTGTATATACTGTATAACATTTAAATACAACATGAAAAATAATAGGATTTCCTGGAATTTTTCTAAAATGTTTGAGATCATTCTCAACATCCCAGGCAATTTCCTTGAATATACTCAGATCATTAATAAAAAATATTCTAAGAAAATTTTTATATATCCTAGAAATCTGGAGAACATTCTCAGAATATTCTGGAAAAGTACTCTGGAATATTCATGGTATATTCTGTACATATTAAGTTTAAATTATTAATTTTGTCAAGTATCACAAAATAACTTGAAAAATACAAAAAACAATGTTTTAAGGGTAAAAAATGGGAAAACTCAATTTTTAGTCCATTCCCATAGTTAGTATTAAAGTACCGAATAGGTACTTAAAATGCAACGGATGATGGGGGTGACAGAGATGACTGACTCAAGTCGTCAATCGTCAGTCGTCACGGAGGTAGCTAACAGCAGAACTGAAACTGAACTGAACTAGTAAGTTATGACTCCTGAGTCGACTCGTTGAAGACCAAATACAACTGAATTGGTTCTTTCTAGCGCATGCGCAGTAGGCTAGTCCAATTCCTGCCCTGAAACGCTCGCGGTGGGAGTGGAAGGGTAAACAAAAACAAACAATAAGCAAGCAGACAATTTTCCCTTTTTTTTCTTAAGCGTGCTACAACTGTTTTATTTCCATGTAGCAGTATAGTGTGTTTGATTCTAGCATAAATTTAATAGATATACTAACTTTTATACATGTATCACTTATCTTAATTTGTGTGTAATGAAATACAAACAATCTACTAATATTTAAAATCGTAAGTCAAAGTAATTTATTCAGCCAGATGAACAAACATTTTGCATTGGCCCAGTCTTGACTAATAAAATTACATTACTTGGATACTTACTTACTTGCATTTATTTTTAAAAAAATGGCATCAAAGTACTAAATAATAGAATACAATTAACTGTATATTGTGATCCACAATCCCTTTTGATGTTTAACCAAGGCTACTAGTAAATTCCCGGATTCTGTAGCCAAGACCCCCCTAGAAAACACTAGAAAAGTTGTTCTATTGGGGCCTTGCTGTAGCAGACCGTATGGTATCTATCAAGATGGACTTTAGATACTTTCTAAACTTTCCAGTGTCCATGTCCTGTTCCCTGTTCGGCTTTCAATCTGGGAGAGGGAAGTCATAAAAGTGTTGCGTCGAAGATGTGAGTTTTACTGAAAGTAATTGGTTGAGTGTCCTGCCGTGTTATAAAGGATAGAAGGATAGATACTATAAAGGATTGAAGTTGTCGCTGAGAGGATAAATGCTGGAGAACTATACGATGACAGGATTTCTTAATGAATGATAAGTTTTCTAAAATTTAAATAATTTTATATTTTGGTGGTCGAAAAGTGGGAAAAACAAAAAAAAAAGAACCTGTTCTCTAACTCTTTTAATTACATTGCCAATATCAATATTAAAGTTATTTTGTATCTACAATCTCTTGAAGATTTTGAACTGATAAGAACATACAGAGTTAAACTAGGGTATAAATATATGTTCTCATTTAAAAGCAATTTTTTAGAAGAAACTGTATGCTTGTCACATATCCATTGCAAATTCATTTAGACCTAAGGCCTATGTGATTTGTGAGTTATTCTTTTAGCTCTTTGATTGTGCATTGTTTTATAATAATATCAATAGACACAGTCTTCCAGAAGGGGACATTTTTTGACATCTCTTTAATGGATCTCTATAACAGAGTTGAATTATCTGAATTATTTTTAATTTGTTTATGTATTTTGTTGCACAGTGTAGGGGAGGGGTGGGCTACAATGGAACAAAAATTACGAAACAATTTTTGGTTTTTTACATGTTTGGTTAACAGCTCCAGAAGATAAATGCACTTATAGAACAACCTTTCCTGCATATATTACATATATTTTTAAATTGATTATGAAATGGAAACTGATTTTTATGGACTGTTTAGAAAAACCTTAGTTGGTATGGACCACAGTGGAACAAAATGAATTAAAATGCAAAAATACAGTACAATAATAAACGTTGTTTATTCACCACAAATATTACACATGTAAAAATTAACATTTTCAAATGCTTCTACTTGTAATTAGTTTAATGTGTGCAAGTCAAAATTCACTTTCTTCCTCTTAACATATTGATCTCTAAAAATCAGCCATTCAAGACTTTGCCTATTGAAAAATTTCCAAAAAAGGATATTTTGATGGAAAAACCCCATAGTTGGGTTTCAAATTAATAAATTAATAATATTTTTTGTTACAATGAAACGCATGCTGTTGGGTCACATTGGAACAGTTCCATTGTGGCCCAACATCAACTGTTTAATTGTGGCCCAACAGCCCATGTCTGTTTGATAAGAAAATCTAACCCTAATTCCACTTCAGAACTTTGTACAAATGCTAACTAAGGTTATAGTCTAAAATTTAGAAGGAGTTGTTATTTATACTTGGTATGTGCCACTTATCTCTAATAACTTCAAATAAAAGTTAAAGTTGTGAAGAAACAACCTGGACAATTTACTTCAAGATTTCAAAAACAAAATATGAATAATATCTCTTCCTTACATGGAGGCAGCCATTTGCACCAATGAACTATGGGTGAACAAACAGTTTTGGAGTTCACTCACAGAGTGCAACAGTTGGCAGACAAGCCAAATACAAAAAGATTTACATTTAGTTGTTCCACTGTGGCCCACCCTCCCCTACTGATGATGTTACTTAAATCACAAAGATTTTAAGATTTATTTGGAAGCATTGGCCAATATAAAACCTTTATGAAGCTCAGTTTTTAACTTAATTTTTTTCACATGGATATTACAGCCTCTTTTTCTTCCATCATTCAAAAAGATTTTCGTGGTAGGCAAACTAAATTTTGAAGGCTACTATACCCTTTACTCTAGATCCAAATAAACCCTTAAATGCAACTGACTGGGTTTTCTAAATAATTGGCACACCAGTTAATAGTTAAAAACTAAGTTCCCTTCTGATAAATTTAAGCATTAGATAAAAACATAGGCCCTCATTTTTTACCCTTAAAACACAAAATTTTTCAATTTTTCTCCAGACCTTTTTAAAGAGCTTAAGAAACCAATAATGATGTATATCAAAGTGTTTTTGTATGGTTATTGGTTACGGAGAAGTTTAAAAAACACTCTTCATTTAAAACTCCCATGTGTTATTCTTATGGAGAATATTGTAAAATGTTGTCTGCTTGTTTATGGATATATTTTGATCATACTTGGCAAATATATTTATTTTATACTAAACTATTAATATGACAAACATTTTAAGTATATGGTTTATGGGGTTGTGACTTGTAATTTTCTCAAAAGATCATGGGTACTTTGAGATTTATATATGGATTTATTTATGCTTTTTTAAATTTACAGGTAATCAAATTGAAATCGAAAGTTAATAAGTACCGGTATTCATGTTTATAAAACATCAGTAAACCAAGAAAAAACTAAATACATCCACTAAAGTCAGATATTCAATGTATGCACTTTGTTCCATGATTGATTATTACAAGGTCAGGAAATTACTGTAATTTATACATGCAATCTTGCATCCAAATAATTACAAAAATGCTCAATAATTGCTATTGAAAGTACTCAAGTTGTTTGCTGCATCATATCCACTGATGCTGAGTCTGAATAGTTTTTAACGTTTTGTACAAACCAGTATTGAAGCTCCAAAGGACAGTTGTTATATCATTGTTAGACAACATTTCCAATTCAAATGGTTTCTTGTTCCACATAGTTTATTGCCCAAGGTCTTTCTTGTCAAAGAGCCAAAGTTTCTAGACTCCAGTGGGTGTTAGTCTTTCAGGATGGACGTTGCCTTTCTGTACGTTCTGTGTTGCTTGTAAGTTTGTAGATTAAATTCTATCACAATTAGCATTATTTTAAGTTCATTAAGAGTGTTACGTATTACAAAATGCTTCTCAAGTATGATTAAATCTAATTCAGAATGTGTCAAACCAAAATCACTCTGATTTGTTAGGTGAAATGAATCTTATGAACATGTGATTACTTACTATTACTTAGCTTCATGCTAATTTGCTAACTTTATTAATTTGGTGATTTTGTCGAATGTTCTTAATTAAACTGAATTAATATATTTAATATATTTTAGCAAATTTCTCATATTGAGAATGCTATTACAATAGGAGTCATTGTAAGACCTCAACCCGTTAAAGTACCCATTAAACTAATGCTATTGAAATAGGTAATAAATGTAATATTTTTAAGGAGATATTTTAGAGTAAATCCAATCAGGCAAATGGACATTCGCTTAAGTTGGGTTTTCCTAGGCCCGGAAGCGGAGCGCAGAGAGTGGACTCCTCTTGTCTTAGGTAATTAAAATGTTAATGTTTTCCTAAAAGCAGAGCAGAACGCCATGTTAATCACTTTTCTGCCCTCCGCTCTCCCTGCTCCTCTTCCGCGTCTAGGAAAACCCGGCATTAGTCTGCAGGTTTGCTGCGGTGAAGTTATTTTAATAATGTTACTGAGACATGCAATTTTAAATTAATGAAATATAAGTTTATAGGATGAGATACCTTGTATGCTTTAGAGACTATTGAAACCTAAATAGTTATCTATATATTAATTTGAAACTGTTTTTCTTTGTGACAGCTAATTTGAGAGAACGGCTGGGTGTAGAAACTCGGTAGGGGTCTCTAAAGAAAGGTCTTGGTCTGTAGATGAGCCATCAAAAGAGAAACATGGTAAATTCCCTCGGGGCTCTGCCCCAGTGGCCTTCAAATTCCCACCCCATGTTATTCTTATGGAGGAAAAACAGGGTTTTGTCACAGCTAATTACAGAGAACGGCTGGGCGTAGAAACTTGGTAGGGGTGTCTAAAGAAAGATATTGGTCTGAAGGTGAGCCCTCAAAATAGAAACGAGGTAAATTTCCTTGGGGCTCTGCCCCAGAGGCCTTTTAAGTTCACTCTGCAATTTTGTTTACATTTCGACCATATGGATAATTTTACACTAATTTTAATGAACCAGCTGTTAATATTAAAATTGGATTCAAAGGTCTACTGAAACTGTCAAAATTAAATGTTTACATTATTATTTATGATTTTAAATGGATTCTCCACCGCATGGCAAGTTTTTTTGATACGTTTTAAATGTTTTGTTCAAAAATCTATGCTTTATTGCTCTTAGAAAATTTTAAATTATGAAATAAGTGTGACATATCAATTTCAAAGGAACATATAACTATTTCTTATCGGGTTAGCTTATATATTGTAAGGTTGGCACTTGCTTTTTGTCCTACTTTCAATCACCATTTATTTTTAAATTCAAGAAAGAACACCTGAGATTCATTTATTGGTATACAAGTTTTTGATAATCGGGTTGAAAATTGTGTCATAGATGAGTATGTTGAGGATGAGAGCTGTGTTCAAGTTTTGGAATAGACTAACTACGGAGTCTATGGTTTTGGTAAAGTAGGTAAACTAATGTCAATTCAGGTATTTAAAAAAAAATTTGTACACAGTTTTTACTTTGATGTACACATTTAGCTAGGTCGAACAATGCATCTAAACCTCACTACATACAAAACATTCGGAAACACAACAGTGTCATCACATCTCATCGCATTTTCATAATTTGTTACCAAGGCTGGACTAGGTTATGGATTTGGTTCCGCAAATGTTCAAGATTTGTGATACAATTTCCTACAATTATTATGGTTCATTCCAATTCACGAAATACATGCACAGCTTTATGTGATCTATATGGCCAAGGCAAAACTACCCCATAAGTTAATGAATTATCAAGTAAGAACAAGATGATTAAACACATGGGTCGATGTGGCAAGAGAAGGAATTAAAATTGCTGATATCGAAGTAAGAATGTTACTGCTTTCTGGAGAATCTAATATTTTTATCAAACAAAAAAAAACTTATTTAATATGCTGATAGAATTCTGTATTTTTATGACCAAAGATGAATATTACTTATAAATCCGGATACAATCTGAATGATTTTCCTAAAGCAGATGGAATTAGTGGTTAGTAATAAATATTGACTCTTTCCGTAACATGATAGACTAATTATATGAACTCATTCTCCCATATAGTGAAAGTGGCTTTGGTATGAAACAAACTCATGAACAAACAATTATAAGACTCCTAAAAAACCTTTTGGGCAACCTAAAGCCGATAAAAAGGTAGGAAATATTGTGTTAAACGAATTCATCAATCACGTTTTTTAGGGAACACAATCATCCCCCCCACACAATCCATACTTCATCACAATCATACTTATTATTGCTTATCTTCCCGTCATTTAACTAAAGATTTAATGACTTCACTCTATCCATCGCAGTTAGCTGAATTTACATAAAACCTCAAGATTAACCGTCGATTTCGACGGGGTTCCACTAGTAATAAATTATTTAAAAAAACCTCAAATCCTTATTCCTCAGAATAGAGCGTGGATCGAGCTATTATTTTAAATGTGCCGCCTATTTTCACAGCTATAATTAATTGGTAGAATATCACATGCCGGGTTTTGGAATGTTACATTTTGATTTTTCCATTAGATTTTTATGTTTTATTTATATAGATAGGAACACACAGATTAAGAAATATTTTTAATATTTTAGATCATGCCTACTAATATTACTGGGAGGCTATATAAACCTTTAGTAATTTAGTACCTACTTTATTTGCTCTAAATATATTTACTTTTAATTTCTCTAGTTTTAATTTCCTTCAATAGATCCTTGATTTGGTCTATTAGATGTTGAATGGGTTTTCTATTGGGGCATAAAATCTTTTTCACCACACCACAATGTTTTTAGCCCTTTTACAAACGTTATTGGAGGCCGAGGTTTTTACATCCCTAGGATCGAAAATCAGCTGCCCGCTTAATTTCTTAAAACATTAATTAATGAATAATAAAATACACATTGCAATAGAATTTTTTTATTGTCACCGCTGCCCAGCAACTATTTATTATAATTTAACTGATTCCTCAAAAATCATTTCTTCACATAACCATAAAGTTGTAGTTCTGTTTCTATTAGTGAGCATTATTATTGTTATTGTGGTAAACAGTGGTAATAGAGAGTATAGTAGTGTGGTGAAAAATAGCATTCGTACCACTGACCAAAATGGAGTTCTCAAGCCCGCAAACCCTCATTTTCGCCCCTAGGTACGAAATATACTATTTGATTTGAATGTACCCAGCTGGTCAGCTGTCCACGATTGTTGTATTTTTAATAAATGGCCTAAGAACTAGATGATCTTAAAGTAAGTAAAAATACCCCCGCCGCAGCAAACCTGCCGACTAAGCGAATTTCCATTTACCTGGCTCGATTTCTACTCAAATATTCCCTTAAAATTGTCAAATTGATTTCCTATTTAAATAACATTAATTTTAATGAATACTTAGGTTTGCTGCTACAGGGAAGGTATTGAGGTATGTTTTTTATTGAAATGTTGATAACTTAGTATGAAATAAACAAAATTGCCAAATTTGATTAAAATATATCCGATACACAAGCAAACTACAACATTTTTGAGCGGAGCGAGCGAAGCGAGCGAAGCTCTTATACGTCGACTCTTATGCATTTCGTAATACGCAAACTCCTCCTAGACGGCTGAATCAATCGTTTTCAAATTTTGCATGGTGATAAAGACCATATCGGTGAGTGCCAACATCTATATGGCGTTAAAAAAATATCTCAGGAATCCGCCCCACTGGGTCTCAAAGTTTCAATGTAATCCTTATGGAAGCAGTATTTGACACATAAACAAAAACATATGATCAGCTGTTGACTTTTGAATGCAGTAGATAAAGAAATAGCCACGATTACTAGAAAAATACCTGTATGGATCATAAACATAAACAAATTACGTTGTTGGCCCGAATCCTATACTAATAGCATTGAGCATATGTTTTGGCAGTTCCATTTAAGCAATGTCAAATAATGTAAATTTTCGGGCCAAAAACGTCATTTGTTTTTGTTTATGATCCATACCGGTATTGTTCTAGTAATCGTGGAAATATCTGATAGCATTAATCCACAGATATTAGAACAGAAACGGTATATGGATCATAAATATAATCAAATGACGTCACTAGCTTGAGGTCCGTGTCGTAGGAAGTAATGAAGGAAGTAGTAAAGGTGAGCAGTCTGGAGTGTGGAAACTGTTTATGACGATTAGATTTAGGTATCTGCAATCCTAAAATGCTATTGGAAGGGAAGGAAACAGGTCCGCGACGTAGGAAGTGGTGAAGGAAGTAGTAAAGTCGAGCTGTTCGGTATATGGGATCTGTTTATGACCATTAGATTAAGGTATTTGCAATTCTAAAATACTATGGGAAGGGAGGAAAACAGGTCCGCGACGTAGGAAGTGGTGAAGGAAGTAGTCAAGGTGAGCTGCCCGGAATGTGGAAACTGTTTATGACGATTGAATAAGGTATCTACAAATCTAAAATGCTATGGGAAGGGAGGAAAACAGGTCCGTGACGTAGGAAGTTGTGAAGGAAGTAGTAAAGGCGAGCTGTTCGGGGTATGGGATCTGTTTTTGACCATTAAGGTATTTGCAATCCTTAAATTCTATGGGAAGGGAGGGAAACAGGTCCGTGACGTATAGGAAGTGGTAAAGAAAGTAGTCAAGGCGAGCTGTCCGGAATGTGGAAACTGTTTATGACCAATAGACAACTACAGCATTTAGTACCTTAATCTATCCTACAATAGATTAAGGTATTTTCAATCCAATAATGCTAAGGGAAGGGAGGTAAACAGGTCAGTGACGTAGGAAGTGGTAAAGGAAGTAGTAAATGCGAGCTGTCCGGAGATTGGGAACTGTTTATGACCAATAGATTAAGGTATTTTCAATCCAATAATGCTAAGGAAAGGGACGTAAACTGGTCCGTGACGTAGGAAGTGGCGAAGGAAGTAGTAAAGACGAGTTGTCCGGGGTATGGGATCTGTTTATGACCATTAGATTAAGGTATCTGCAATCCAATAATGCTAAGGTAAGGGAGGTAAACAGGTCCCTGACGTAGGAATAAAGTGATGAAGGAAGTAGTAAAGGCGAGTTGGTCGGAGTGTGGGAACGGTTTATGACGATTAGATTAAGGTATCTGCAATCCTAAAATGCTATGGAAAGGGAGGGAAACAGGTCCGTGACGTATAGGAAGTGGTGAAGAAAGTAGTCAAGGCGAGCTGTCCGGGGTTGTGGGAACAGTTTATGACAATTTGATTAAGGTATCTACAATCTTAAAATTCTATGGAAAGAGAGGGAAACAGGTCCGCGACGTAAGAAGAGGTGAAGGAAGTAGTAAGGTGAGAAGTGTGGAATGTGGGAACTGGAAACCGTTTGTAGCAGTTAGATCAATGTACCTGCAATGCTAAAATGCTATGAGAAGGGATGGAAACATGCCCACGACATAGAAAATGGTGAAAGAAGTAGTAAAGGCTAGCAGTGCGGAGTGTGGTCAATGTTTGTTGCAATTAGATTAACGTATGTAAAATACTAAAATGCTATGGAAAGTGATGAAAACAGGTACACGATGTAGGAAGTGGCTTAGGAAATAGTTAAGTATGAGCATATGGTGGGAACCGTCTGTGGCAGTTAGATTAATGTATCTTCAATCCTAAAATGCTATGAGAAGGCAAGGAAAGAGGCCCCTCGACGTAGGAAGTGGTGAAGGAAGTAGTAAAGGCTGGCAGTGCAGAGTGGGGGAACCGTTTGGGCAGTTAGATAAATGTATCTAATACTTAAATGTTATGAGAAGGGAAGGAAACAGGTCTATGACGTTGGAAATGGCGAATGAAGTAGTAAGGCTTGCAGTGCAGAGTGTGGGAACTGTCTTTGAAAATTACATTAATGTATCTGCAATACAGGCTATGGGAAGAGGGGAAAACAGGTCCACGACGTAGGGGGTGGTTAAGGAAGTAGTAAAGGTGAGCAGTGTTGAGTGTGGGAATGGATTAATTTATCCGCAATTCTAAAATGCTATGGGAAGAGACTGTAGACTGTAGGTTAAAATTACTACGAAGCACGAATCGATACATATTTCGATACATGCAATCGTTTACAATAGAAATTTACAAATGAGTTGACAACAGCTGATTTTTACTCCATAGGGGCTAAAAATGATTTTTACTCCCTAAAGAGTAAAGATGCTACTTTTACTGCTACATACGATTGTTTTTACTGCAGTATTACAAAAACAATTAATATGAATCCTTGATGACTCCGCTCAATTTTGTGGATGCCTCTGCGAACGCCACCTAGTATTTATTTTCCGTAAGAATAATATGGGAATTTTAAATTTAAAATTTTTTGAATTATCTCTGTAACCGTTATGCATAAAACAACGCTTCAACATTTGTACCAAATTTCATCGAAATCGGATAATTTTTGCTCGAGTTATTGTGCTATTGGACACATATTTATGAATCTGAATGGAGGGTGTTTTGCCCCCTGGGGACATCAAAACGAAAAATTACATCGGTCCCCGGTGTAAGGTCTTACCATGGGACCTACAGTAATAGCTTATTCCATATATGGGAAATTCGCTAAAAGCAGGAGGGTCATAACAGTTGCTATAGGTCACCAAAAGTCATTCCATTGGTTTGACTCGGTGAAACAGTTTGTTTATTCGACAGAATTTAGTAATTTAGATGAGCGCAATCTGTTGGTGGCTCACTTTTATTAAAAATCAGACGACAAATTTAACATGGGGATGGAATGTCGTAGAATTGTGTGAGATGATCTGAGTAGACACTTTGTTACTGATCAAGACCAGCTGTTTCTTAGCTATTGGTCTCAAAAGCCCATTGCTCGTACAGCTGGTTCCGATTCGAATTATCAAAATTTACCAACTTTTCTTGGAATTGAACCAATCTTCTGATTAGCAGTCAAACTACCCATCTATATTGATCATAATCAGATGAATATATTACTTGTTTGTGTTTCAGCTTCTTATGTGTGGGTCATTCCCATTTACAGCATCATCTGACTCATGACCCAGGGACGGAGATGATACAAGAGCTCTACTCTGCTATAGAGTCAGCTGACTATCAGCTAGCTCCGCCCTCAGACTACCCAGAACACCACCAGGTGATTGACGGAGAGAGTTTTGACTTCATCGTGGTGGGTGCAGGGTCAGCCGGTAGTGTCGTAGCCAGTAGACTTTCGGAGGTGAGCTGCTTCAAAGAATTAATTATGGAATCCCTTTCCTTATTCATTCCCTGTTTAGTTTACTGTTCGAGAAAAATTGTGGTGATTTAACTTTTAGTTAGTTTTAGAATGGCTAGTTCAATGGCAATAGAAAAATGATCAGAGAAAATTTCATTTTTGGAGGGCAGATCTAATCGCTGCCATGTGTTTAAAAAATAGCTTAGTTGGCAAATGTAAGCACAGAAAAGCGTTTCCTTGTAATGGCAGTGACTCACATGGCAACTCTCGGGGAAGTGATGCGATAATCAAATGTTATCTTATGGGAGTAACCACACCTGCCAACTCTCATGGAACCACAGTTGAAAATTTATTCTTGAATCCACTGGCCAGAATTCAAATCAAAGTTTTTGTTTTGGTGAACAGCACCACTACCAGTCTGCAAGGTGTGCACAGGGTGGTTGCAGAGAAAACGGTGACAACAGTGCTCTTTGTGTGTTTCCAGGACGAAATATCCTAGGAAGAAGCAGGAGGGAGAGCTTTGACGCGCCCTGCTTTGCTCCTGCAAGAGTTGCCGAAGTATGGTGTAATCTAATCTGGGGTGGCTCCAATATGAATTCAATGGGTGGAGGGAGGGTATTGCTGTACATTATTTTCACAAGTTTCATCTACTAGGTTTCTTTTAATTATTTTGTCATAATCAGGTCAAAATAACACAAAGTACAGGGTTCCACACAAGATTAGTGTGGTGCAATTTTATACATTAGCCATCTAATAATTTACAGCGTATGTATGATGTTCTACTTACATTGGTTATGTATTGGCCACATGCCTAAGTTTGATTTAATTTGTAATTGTTGCTGAGTTTTTTATCTAAATAAATAATTGTGACCTGAAATCAAAATTCTTGACCAGCAGGTACAATTGGCAAAGTTTCCGTCTGATGCTGATAGGTAAGTGCTGGTCGCGTTCACCTCAGTCCCCTCAGTAACTCAATGACTGTCCAACCACAGGAGAAATGTTGTTGTGCTGCTTGTTGTCACAGTATTAAAGTTTAAAAAGTGTCCTACAACTGAAATTCTGCCAGTTGAGGTGCGCTCTGTAATACGGTTTGGTAGTGGTCATACACTTAAAAGCTTTATTGGGTTAAAACCCGTATAAATTTATCGTCAATGGTGTGAAGTGTACAGTAACAACATAATCAATTTAAGTTACATTCGGAAATGGTGCATTCAGTTTAGAAATCTCCAAACCATAGTTGATATCCAAAATTTTGTTTTTCATAACAATGCCCGACCTAACAAGTCACATCGTAAACTTGATCTTCTTTAAAAATTCAAATGGGATATTTTCCCTCAACCACCCACCCCAGAGTCCATACCAGAGGCTCCGAGTGACTTTCACTGGTTTTGAGCACAAAATAGAAGACTAGGGTAGCAGCATAGCGCTTTGATTATGACGAGGGCCTCCAATTTTGTGTCATTAGGTAGCTGAGCTGGCAGACAGTGGAACTCAAGATCATAGGAGTTTCAAAGCTTGTCCATTGCTTTGATAAAAAATGCTTCATTTTGTTTGGCAGCTATGTGGAAAATTAGTATTTTAGTCGATCATTCAAAGGTACCTATGTAATACAATTTTTCTTGTACAAACTCTTTCCTGAACAGCCTTTGTATTTAGGCAAACAAAATCAGCAACAATTATTTGTAAAACTAATATCTTTCTAGTGACCAATACGATAATTTCCACATTACCGTGGGAGACCGGAGATATTCCTGATTTTACCACAATAGCGGGAGACTTTCGATAACGTTTTTGAGAACGCAGGAGACGATGGTGATATGTTTCTGTGCCTGAGGAAGATATTCAGGATTGGTTATATTGGTTATTTATTATATTACTTCTTTGCTTGACATACTTTTATAAATGTAGATAATATAATATAAATAGTATCTAAATATGAAATATATATTCAAAACAGATTTATAAATCAGTTTATTAAAATTAAATATAATGTTATGGTAAATTTTTCATAAATATTTCTGAACAGTAAAAGGTAACTCTAAATGGTATTACATCGATACTATTCTCAAATTTAGAACCTTGATTAGGTATGAAATTGTACTAATCTTTTGTGGACACTCTGTACTTACTTTATTGATTTCACCAGTTCTTAGTGAATACCATAGGTAACATCGACACTGAATAACTATTACAGGTGTGAAGTGTAATACTATTTGTCAAAACAGGTGAAGAAGTGGAAAGTGCTGCTTATAGAGGCTGGTGGAAACCCGACCAAGACATCAGAGATTCCAGGACTTCACCACTTCCTGCATGGGTCCTCAGTAGACTGGGCCTACCTGACGGACCCTGGAGAGGACAACTGCCTGGGGATGGTGGGGGGAAGCTGCCGGTGGCCTCGAGGGAAGGTGCTTGGTGGAAGTAGTACAATAAACGCCAACTTGTACGTCAGAGGCCATCCTCGGGACTACAACTCATGGCTCGAGTCTGGCAACGATGGCTGGGGCTACAAGGATGTGTTGCCTTACTTCAAGAAATCCGAGGGACTTCGGGCTCAAGAAGTCAGGGACAGTGAGAACTACAACCATTATCACGGGACAACAGGCCAGCTCACAGTGTCAACTTACAACAACTCAGAACTGAAGGAACTGATTAACGCTTTCTCCAACGGAGTGAAAGAGTTAAACTACAAAGGTCATACGGATTGTAACGGAAAGTCTCAACTAGGTTTTGTACCTCTACAAGGTACAATTGTCGATGGAAAACGGTGCAGTGCTGCAAAAGCGTTTCTGACTCCGGTAAAAAGTCGGAAAAATTTGAAAGTATCTAAGTTTTCTTTGGTTTCAAAAGTTTTAATAGACAAAAATAAAGTGTATGCAGTTAAGTTTACGAACAAAGAAGGTTCTGTGGTTACAGTTAAAGCTTCAAAGGAAATTATTTTATCTGCAGGAGCAATAAATACTCCTCAGATTTTATTGCTGTCTGGAATCGGGCCAAAACTTCACTTGGATGAATTAGGGATTAAAGTTGTGAGCGATTTGAAAGTCGGTGAAAATCTACAAGACCATATGCTTATGACCGGAGTTTTACTGTCGTTTAATTACAGCAAACCAGTTAAATCACATCTGGAACACATGTTTGATTTTCTAACAAAGTCGTCCGGTAAATTTAGCAATGTTGGACTTTTGAGTTCTTCGATCTTTATCAATGTTGAAAAGGATGACAAACAAGACGACTACCCCGAAATACAGTTTCACATGGTGGATATTGATCCAAACATGGAGGAAGACGTTATTGGGCTTGTCCAACATACCTACAATATCAAAGAGGACATCTCAAAGTCTTACATTAACGCTAATAAAAACCGTTATTTAGTACTTGCTATGCCAACGCTTTTAAGACCGAAAAGCCGAGGACAGGTTTTACTAAGAAACACCGATCCAAAATCGAGTCCAAAAATTATTTCTGGTTACCTTAATAACGAAGATGACATAAGAGTTTATCTTGAGGCCATTAGATTTGTAGAAAAACTTGTTAATACCAAGGCTATGAAAACCTTAGATGCTAAACTTCATAAAATAGACATCCCAGGTTGTAGGGACTTTGAGTTTCCGTCAGATGAGTATTGGACGTGCTCTCTTAGACATATGGTCTCTACGACGTTTCATCCGACATCTACCTGCAAAATGGGTCCCCCTGAGGACCCTGACAGCGTTGTGGACCCTCGGCTTAGAGTCAAAGGTTTGGTCGGTTTGCGTGTAGTAGACGCTTCTGTCATGCCTCAGATCATCAGTGGAAATACTAACGCACCAACTATTATGATAGGTGAGAAAGCTGCTGACATGATCAAACAGGACTGGGCCGATGATGAACTGTAAAATGTTGTATAGAATATCAAACTCTTTTTTCAGCTTTACAATAACCACAAGATAACTACAGTTTCAGAAGTTTCAGGTCTGATTCAATAATTCTTTTTATCGTCATTGATTATAAAAATCTTTTCACCTACGACCTTTTTTAAACCAGCCTTTTCAATTGAATTCTTTCATTTGAAAAGATTTACTTGACGGCAACACACTCACAATACACTGATTTAACGAAATTCCCAGCAAGGATTTAGCCCAGAAAACAGCTGTTTTCCGTCGGCGCCAGCTTAAATGGGGTTTCAATTCGTACTACCACAGAAAACATACTATAGTTCGGCCGCTTAGAAAACGACCTGCGCGCTAATGCTAAACCAATGTTGGAGGAGGTCGCTTTCTAAGCGGCCGAACTATAGTAGTACCGCATGCTTTCTGTGGTACTACACTGTAATAGTAATAGCGCATAACGTACGAAACTTTACATAATACTACACAGAAAAATTAGTTAATTTTAAACTCATAACACAATCTATTTAGAACATAACATAAATTATAATATTTTATTTTTATATTTCAGAAAATAAAAATAGACTGTTGCAATTAGCTGTTTATTTCATCAGCTGACTAAGTGCACGGTAATAGTATATTACGTTACTAGTCCTGAAAATGGGTGTTTACCGGACGAGTGTGGTCGTTCCCGTGCGAGACGAAGTCGAGTACGGAATTACCATACTAGTGACGTACGATATTTTACGCCATACTACAGATCCTTATATTGACTAAAGGACTAACAATCTATTATAATATTAAAGTGATACAATCAAATTTTATGTAAACGGTTAAGGTCATTTACCAAATAAAAATATAGGCATATGGTACATCAAAATGAAGCTTGGAGTGTGTAGATTTGCCGAAAAGTATTGATATGGACGAATTTCCTAAGGACTCTGCCCCACAGGATGATTTCCAAAGGGCTACGCCTGGCATGCTTTCAATGTTTAAATGATTTAATTTAACTAGTGGCTTGTAGGGGCAATAGCCCCTATATGTATATTCTAGTAACTATTTTGTATAAATTACATGTATTAGTCTCATGGGTTACCCTACCTTGAATTATTGTTTAACATTTGTGTATGTTAACACTGGTTTTTTCAAATAAATGCCAACTTTTTTGAAGGTTTGGTCTTGCACTTTATTTACAATAACAGTGAAAGCTATTTGCAATGGGCATTGAATCCTTGTAAACTTAAACGGCATATTAGGATAAATAAATAAATAAATAAAAAGGCCTTTATTTGCGAGCGAGTTTCATAATACATGGTTTTCAAACTAACTCAAGTCACTAAATCTAAACTATCCTAAAATATTTACATAAGTATATACAAACAAATTACAACAGAATAATTACAATATACATTTTACATTTGTTTTTTTCATTGCGGCCCTGAATGTGTTGTACGATTTTGAACACTTGATCTCTTGAGGGAGGCCATTGTACAACCGCGGGCCGAAATAAGAAAAAGACCTTCTTCCAGCCTCAAGCCTCACTTTAGGAAAGTGAAGCTTGCGGTCGGAGCGAGTACTACGCAGACAGATCTCCCTCCTGTACTTCAGCCTCTCGCTGAGGTAATGAGGCTCTCCCAGCGTGAGCACTTTGTGGACCAGGCAGCAGGTCAGCTTTCTGCACATGTCATCCATTGGGATGAGCTTAGCAGCATCTCTGTAGGAGGACACGTGTTCAAAGCGACTAAGGCCAAAAATGAACCTTATGGCAGGATCTGTAGATATTAGTTTAATTTTTGGCACAAAAAATATGTTCCCTTTGCCTACTCCAGTAATTACCGTACTTCTATCTTTACACTTATTTCAGACATACCTACACAACCAATCGTACTTCATTAAAACCAGACCCTTAAATTTGGGAAAAAGTTTATTTCAGCTTTATAAATAGTACACATATTATAGTAATGATATTACATATTACCATATGCTTTAAATAAAGTTAAACCACATGTTTTAAAGTAAACAAAGCAGACATGACCTAGATTCCCATGCTATTTAAATGTGAATTTTTTTATTCCGTAGCAACCTTTTGGTGAATAATTAAGAAAAATGAATAATTTTCCCCAAAATTTCATGCTCAGACCTCTAAAATGAGACCTCTCCCAGCTTTCTACAGCCTCCCGTTTGCTCACAATTTCATTGTAAAATTTTGGGCTTACAGAATTAGATATATAGATTTAGTTAATGAAACAGCTGGTCAGTACAATGAACTGGTGTTTGTTTATTTACTCGAAAAATATTGAGGAGGGTTATGTTTGGTTTTACAGTGAGGTTGTATACGTTTTGTAAAGTATTTATCAAAGTTTCATTTTTAGCGAATTTCCCCTATAGGGAATAAGCTATTACCGTAGTACTCATGGTGAGACCTGGACCCGGGACCGATTTATTTTTTCGTTTTGAGGTCCCTAGAGGCCAAAAACACCATCCGTTCAAATTCATATATATATATATATATATATATATATATATTTATATATGTGTCCGTTAGCGCGATAACTTGAGCAAAAATGATCCGATTTTGATGAAATTTGGTACAAACGTGTAAACCTATGTTTATTCGAACGAGTTCGCGAACCAGCATGATCGGACTATGGGAACAGGGGTTTATGGGGGGTTTTATGGGGTAAAAATAGGGTTTTCCCATTTTTTACCCTAAAAACTTAAAATTTAGCAATTTCTTTTCAAACTATTTTGTAGAGCTTAAAAAAACAAATAATTTAGTATATTAAAGCGTTACTATGCGCCTAATGGTTACGGATTCAAAAAATCTGTAATTTTAAAATACCCATGTTATTCTTATGGAGAATAAGTTAACTGTTGTAGTTTGCTTGTTTATGAACATATTTTGATCAAATTTGGAAAATGCATTCATTTCATACTAAACTATTAACATTTTACAAAAAAACACATTTTTACCCTCCCTGTTGCAGCAAACCTAAGTACTCAAACTAATGTTATTTAAATAGGGAATAAATGTGATATTTTTAAGGAGACATTTTAGTGTAAATCCAATCAGGCAAATGGAAATTCGCTTAGTCTGCAGGTTTGCTGCGGCGGGGGTATTTAATTTATATAGTAAGCTAAATGTGAAGAAGCTTGACTAAAATTGAAGAATTATGGTAAAACATGTCATTTATGAAGCATCAATATGAAGCAATTGATGCTATTGCTACACTAAGGTATGTTGTCATGTTCTATGGATCTATGAACATCAAAAGTAGGGGTTTGAAAGTAAGTAAGTTTACGCTTTAAAATTAGTTTATATTTTCAAACTAAATCATAGAGTTGCTGTATTTTAAAACACACATCAGCACCACTTTAATAGCTCTCTAGGTCACATTTTCTTCCCGTTGCAAAGCACGGGTATAGCAGCTTGTCACTAGTTATAACCATGACCTCTCTGGGAGGTTATGTTTTTGTTTATAACCACACATTACCACCCAAATACAGCATAATCAGCTGATTGGTGTCCGGTAAAACTCATTACAGTACAGTAGTACGCAATGAAACCCCATTTGTTTAAGCTGTTTGCCACCAGTTAATCAAATGGGGTTTCATTACATACTACTGTACTCTAATGAGTTCTACCGGACACCAACCAGCTGATTATACTGTATTTAGCGATGAGTCGTTATAAACAAAAACATAACCTCTCTTAAAGGTTATGACTAGTGATTTTTAGTCCTTTAGTTGGTGGAAATATAACAGTATCCTTAAATTATAAGGATAGATTAATTTGTCTAGCGTATAAACTATCGTACGTCACTCGTCCAAAATGTGTTTACGCCACACTACACTATTTTGACGAACTTCCCACGCAAGGATTTAGTCCAGAAAACAGCTGTTTGCCGCCAGCTTATTCAAATGGGGTTTCATTGCGTAATACTGTTCTGCAATGAGTTTTACCGGACACCAATCAGCTGATTATACTGTATTTGCGTGGCAATGATTGGTTATAAACAAAAACATTGCCTCTCTTGGAGGTTATGACTGGTGATGTTTAGTCCTTTAGTTGGTGGAAATATATAAGGATCTGGACGAATTAAGTAGTATGGCGTAAACTATCGTACGTAACTCGTCCAAAATGTGTGTACCAGACTCGTATGGTAATCCCGTACTCGACTTCGTCTCGCACGGGAACGACCACACTCGTCCGGTAAACATTTATTTTCAGGACTAGTAACGTAATATACTATTACCGGACTCGTATGGTAATCCCATGCGAGACGAACGACCACACTCGTCTGGTAAACACTTATTTTCAGGACTAGTAACGTCGATACTATACAGTATTGTTTTGTTACTTAACAGTAAAAGTTTGGGCCAATGAGGTTCAATAATTGGGAGAAAAGAAGTAAAATTGTAATACTACGAATGCCCAGTTATCAGCTGTTAAGACCAATTTATTCGATTAAACGAGTGAGTAGTTGGAATATGTACTAGATTCTTTGTTGTACATTAAAGAAAATCTTAATAATATCCCTGCTAACAATTCAGTACATTCATATTTTACCAGACAGAGCTATTTTATAAGTACAGTATTCACCAATGTAATTATCAGACTACCATTAAATCCACTTTTGAATTAAAATTCAAAATGCATTTGAAAACTCTTTTGATAGAATTAAGTGTTTATGATGTTGACGAATTTATCACTTATTTAAGGTGTCCAGTTATGTAAATAACAATTTATTGTAAAATGTGACGATGCCATACGTATGTTTTGTATGTTTTTATACGACAATAAATGCATTGATTTGGGATAAGTCGTTACATCACAATCTGTGGCAATGCGAAGTTATTAACGAAAGTCATGAGTAGTGATTTTTAGTACCTAATTAAAAAACGGTTGTAGGGAAAATTAGTGTACGCAACTCACGTAATTAGCCTTTACGACCCTCGTAGAAGTTTTAAAGACACTCGCCAGTCGCCAAGGCCTGTACCTTAAAATGTTTACTCGTGTCTTTAAATGAGACCACGAATACTTGAACTTCGTGGTAAAGACTGTCCTTACGCGATCGTCGCGTACTACTGTACTATAATAGAATGAGGGAGCTGATTAGGGAAAAACAACAACAAACACATTTTGTTTAGCTCTAATTAAATTAGTTTATAAGAGTTGTAAATGTTTGTAGTTACGTCTAAAATAAAACAAAATGAATTTCGGAACTTGTTTATAATTAAATCCATTTTACTTTTAAAATAGTGCCCTTGGAATTTTGTGAAATAAGAATGTAAACAAATGTGTGGTATTTAGAAATTGGACTTATCGCAATTAATTGACGGAGTACGTTTTTACTTTGCTGTGCGAGTGCTCTTGCTCTTATCAACGATCAAAACTAAACACAATAAACCAAGCCCTGTCGTTGTTTTGCTGCGGACCTTAATGGTTTTTTTTTAAATTCAAATGAAAGGGAGAGGGCGCAAAACTACCTCTCGAGAACATAGTGCTTCACAATATTATGATAACCGCAGACCATCTACAGACACTCAGATCATGCAGTATTATTGAGGGACTACTGCATTTAAAACAACTCATTTAATTTTCCTCTTTTTCACAGTTTTTTATGTTGATTCGACAATTTCAATTTCAATTGCTTGAATAGTAAAAACAGTAACACTTTTTTGGGAGAGAATTTAGGCTCTTAAGACAATCTAAAAATGCGTGTTAAAGAGTTTTAAAAGAAGCTAAAACTTAAGTAAAAATATGTTTGTTCAATGAAGGGCATATTTCCCGAGTCCCCATCCTGTTGGAGGTTGGACTACGGTATTTCACACCCCCAAATTCCCTGAACAAAATACTTGCCCGCTTCCACAGAAAAATAGGGTAGTGTTTAGATATGTGTTCACGTTTATAAATAACTCTTGTTTTACCATTACGTTTATGCCAACAATATGGAACATTTTAATAGTTTAGACCAGGATCAGTTCATCAGCATCAGACGTAGACATCGATCCGGACTGCCTTAGCCTTAGCAGCCTTAGTTTAGTGACTCATGCGCATCCCAGCAAACAGAGCAGTTGTGTCGTACGCTGGGAATTTTCCCTGATCAAGGGAAATTTTCTTAAAACTTGATCAACTGTATTTAAATTCTATTTCCGTAGTAAACAATGTAATGATGAATTTTCGCAGGTGATAAGAAAATAGGAGTAGAACAAGAGTAGAAAGTGAGTCATTACATATTTGAGACCACGTTTGAAGTGCGAGATTTATCGAGCACTAAATGGTCGACACTTTCACTCGTGTTTTGAACGTTACTTTTCGCTACACTACAAAGAATAATTTATTTTCTTAGTTACACAACTCATAGAATTGTTATGTTATGCCTTCAATTTAAAGTTAATATTGACTTTAGTTATTGAAAATTGAAAAAGTTGATAAAACAATAACATATATTGAAGTTGTTGACGGTGGAAAATTTTCGGTTGTAAACAATGTTACTTTCGGTAGTAAACAATAGACAGCTGTTGAAAATATGTTTTTCCTACAGTCACCCGACAAAGTTGGCTTCCTTGTACTGTTTATAGTACAGAAAGCTGCTAATTGCTGCATATTTATACTTTGCCGTACGGTTTATACTTTGCCGTACCGTTTATACTTTGCCGCACATCAGGATTCCAACGAAACAACACAAAACAGCGTGGTTCTATTATGCACGTAATCCGTGTACGCTTGGAAATAGGTTGGCAACACTTAAAGATAATAATACTATGAGCAGCTGATTGACTATTATAACTTCGATTTAACCTGTCATTTCGTGTTTATAGTTTCAGTATTTCTGAACTTCCTGGACTTTTCTTTTAAACGTTTTTAAAACATTCCTACGATCTTAATAAACAAAAAAAATACATTTAAAGCATTTTTTTAGGCGCGGAAACCACTTCAAATTACAAAAACATAGGGACTATATTCTCAAAACGCGGAGCACATTTCTTGCCGAGGAAAAATAGCGGAGTGATACGGACCGCGGGTACTACTTTCTCTAAGGGCACCATTTGCGGTGCCAGCTGAATCTAAAAACGTGTTGTATAGTGTTTGAAAGACTAATTATTTATATGATTTATAGTGACTGTAGGAAAAATATAATGTGTAACACGAGTGAAAAAGGCCTTTGCTGCACTCGAGATCATTCCGCACTCGCCTGCGGCTCGTGCGTAAACATTGCTCTCGTGTGCAGCAAAGTGCCACTTTCACCACTAGTTACACAAATAACTATTGCAGGTTGTAAACACATAACGAAAACACCTCAACTCATAGTAGTGTAGTAAAAATAATATTTCTGAATTCTGAACCCTCACATTTTTCAGGATTGGAAAACGTACTTATATTGTAAAGTTACTTGATTTCCTCCTGACTTTTTAACATTGGAATTGATTACTAAACAAAACTAATCCTTACGTATGAGATGCTAGATTTGCACCTTTGTAAAATAAAATCTAATTTTCAATTCCTTTAACCTTTTATTAATGTTATGCATGTTAGCTATACATGGCTGTTATTTTTAAAGGTTCTATGGCTCTTGCGCTGCGATTCTGAATCAATATTAACTAATCAATTACCGGTAACTAATTACTACGCCTAATTTAGTATGCTAATAAATACATCTCGAGAAGAACTTTTAGATGAAAGGTAAGTTTTATAAGGTTTTAGTACATACATTTTGTAATTTTGTAATTACATGCATCTATGCCTATATGGAATATGATTTATTAGTAAATAATTTTCAAATCAATACTATTTAATAAAAACCCGTTTGGACATAAAACAACCAAAACGGTGGGTGAAATCCCTTTAAATATCTACTAAAACATTATATATGTTTATAGCTAGTTGTGACCGTACCAAAGTACAAAGTAAATAGAGTAAATCTAAGTAAAGTGCAACTAATTACAATGCCGTACCGGTATTAAAACTTATCACACTTACACACACACACCAAACAAATCGATAAAATATCACATATATCTGAATTATTATTAATTTACATTTCCCTTTTTAAACTACGATATTAGTTCATAAAACAAAATTTAAAGTACTAAAATGTCAAAAAGATTTCACCCAAATGCAATTTTGGGCCGTTTTGCACAACGGGGAAATTTCACATATTTGGGGATTTTCGTGTTGCCTCATGAAAGGTTGGCAGCCTGGATCTCCCGCCAAGTTACAGCTGTCTCAGGCTGTCTGCTGCGGACTCAGCACCCAGCCCAGCAGTTTGTATTTCAGCAGTGTCAGGTGTGGTCAGGGTAGTGCAGCAGTCCACGTAAGTTTTTCAGCATCATAACAATGTTGTTTAGAATTTAATATTCATAAAGGAAATATTTTATATTAGCTTTTGCAAATTATAGAACCTTGTGTAAAGTACGATTAAACAAAAATGTGAATCTAAACCTCTTTTTCAAAATCAGGGCAGGCACATTGCAGCTTCCTAAATTACTTCATAGTGAAAACTATTTCCTCACTGATTTCAACTAGGAACTTCTAGGGTGACTGCAAGTCATAAAGCATATCAATGATTAAATATGATCAAATTGTACATAATTAACACCCTAATAAAACGTGTCGTTGTTTGTGTTGTATTTAAGCCGCATTATAATGTGTTTACCTCCCCTACTTGGGCATCGATTTTTTGTTTGACTTTTTTTTAAATGATACTACACTATTCGTTCGGTAGGTTAATGTTATTAAATGACATTTATTTATACTTTCCAATAAGTGCACAAAACCCTTCTTTATTTGAGTTGTAACTACGGACCAAGGGGTTTCGTACAGTCTCCACATTTTTGTGACGATTATATACCAAATGTAATTACTCTGTAGTTCTTGAAATTTCTCCTACTTTCTTCAACTATTTACCTTATTTTTGATTTTTAAAAAACCTACTTATCCAATGGTATATCGTGTATAAGAAATTCGTTACTGTCTAAAGATGTGTAAGTTAGTATCCTCCGTATTATTTTTTATTTTAAAATGTCGGAGTTGGAAACAACCCAGTTTAGTTATATCACTCTTAGTTCTTTGGTTATTTCCTTTGGCATCGCTATAGCGACTACTACAGTAGTAGGGGGCTCCTCAGCGTTAAGTCTTCATAGAGCAAATAGTGCTTAACTATCTTTGTATAAATGAAAACAAATCATAGACCTGTAAAGTGAAAAGCATTAATTAGAATTTTATGATTACGAAAGTTCGGTTGACGACATGATAAAAGTGGATATTAAAACTTTGTTGGCGTCTTCTTGTTTTCTTTTTGCTCCTCTAGGAAGCTGGCTGGTCCATCTCACCTGAACTCCACATACTTGGCTTACTCGTTGGATTGAAAATGGTTTTGACAAAAAATTCATATTAAGTCCATGGAGTTTCTGCCTGCTTAACAATTTATGACGCAGCACAAACAACGCAACTTAGCTAGAAACACGTTTTTCTGTCAGGCAGTAAACTGTATATTCAATGGTAATGGGGGTCATTAATCAATGAACAACAAATCCGAGAAAGAACTACATTTTACATGTCAACTGTTACCAATATTTTTTTCAACTCTAAATTTCTTCGCCCGATCCACCCCCAACAACATTTTAAAAGTGTTTATGATGTCTATGATATCAAGAATCAATTATCAAAAAAACGTGTTGCGTATTCGTGGTTCTTAATGAGTTATTTACACGATTCAATTCTTTAGAACTTGTAAGAGACGCATTAATAAGAGACGGTTGTCCCGGATAACCGGATCAAAACCTTGGTTGAGCCAAGGTTAATAAACATTGCCAGCCTCTGTAAAAGGAAATATCAAAAGCTAAGTAATTAAAATCAAACGTAACAGAAAACACAAATAACAGTTTCTCCGTTCATAGCTAGCAATAAACAGATTTCGACTTGTTTTCATTTATTGCATTAAGTTAGGTTACCGTACTTCAGTTGGTGACCGCTGATAAGATTTCGACGTTTTCTATTTAATCACAGCTAAGAAATAAGTGTTTTTAGCGAATTTCCCTATAGGGAAGTAGCTATTACCGTAGGTATCATGGTAAGATCTAGGCCCGGGACCGATTTACTTTTTAATTTTGATGTCCCCAGAGGCCAAAAACATCATTCGTTCAAATATATATATATATACTAGCTGACCCGGCGAACTTCGTATCGCCTAAGTTATAGGTTTCCCCTAAGACAGACCGATGGAAAGAAAGTACCGTTCCGTTTAATTTTCAAGATGATCTCGTTCGCATCGCTCAATCACGTCCTGGTTGAAGTTCGTTCGCTACGCTCACTCACCTTTCGGTTGGAGCTCGTTCGCTACGCTCACTCACCTTTAGGTTGGAACTCGTTCGCTGCGCTCACTTGCCTTCAGGTTAGCTCGTTCGCTACGCTAACTCGCCTCCAGGTTGAAGTTCGTTCGCTACGCTCACTCACCTTTTGGTTGCAAATTAGCTGTTGTCATAAATGTAAAAGAAATAATAGTGCTGCACCCTGTTGGTAATCCTTGTAACTTTAATGCTATTGAACATCATAGAACAGAACCAACTTGTTTAATTGAAACAGCTGTTAAGATTCATTAATTCCATTTCTCATAAGGTTAACATGGGAAACTCCAGAGCCACTGGGGCGGAGCCCTTTTAAGAATTTCGAAACGGGAAATAGTTTACGTCCGATTCGCATACCTACAGAATTTACACACCAAATTTCATAACGATCGGTGAAGTCGTTCCGGAGGAGTTTGCAGACAAACACTGTGACACGAGAATTTTATATATTAGATAGATATATATATGTGTGTGTGTGTGTCCATCCACGCGATAACTTTAGTAATTTTTGTCCGATTTTGATAAAATTTGGTTTGAAGGTGTAAGGCGGGATGAACTTGAATGAGTTCGCGAACCAGCATGATCGGACTATGTTAACGGGGGTTTATTGGGGGTTTTATGGGGTAAAAATAGGTTTTTCCCATTTTTGACCCTAAAAACGCAAAATTTATGCGCCTAATTGTTACGGAGAAAAATAAAAAAATGTTAATTTTAAATTCCCATGTTATTCTTATGGAGATGAACATATTTTGATCAAATTTGGAAAATACATTAATTTCTTACTAAACTACAGTACCTTTTAACATTTTACATTTAAAAAAACTTGTTTACCCTCCCTGTTGCAGCAAACCTAAGTTCTCATTTAACTAATTCTGTTTAAATAGGGAATAAATGTGATATTTTTAAGGAGACATTTTAGTGTAAATCCAATCAGGCAAATGGAAATTCGCTAAGTCTGCAGGTTTGCTGCGGCGGGGGTATTTCCATTATCTGTGGCCCAATTTAAAGAGGATTTCTTACCATGTTGCTCAAAAACCAGCATTACCCTGTTCTTGCTTTTATGAGTTAGAATTGAGTGAGCAAAACAAAATAAAGGTGTTTGTGATCCAAAGTATAGAAATATCTGACAGTTTTATGAAAAATATTTTAGAACTCGTTGTCATTAACACTAAATAATCTTTAAAAATCATTCTATATTCAGATGATGGCTACATGAAATAAATACAAGAGGTTCTACCCGCGAATTCACGGGTGAACAGAAGCCACCATTAAATTAATTTAATCAACTTTGATATTTCAGTTAAAGGGCCCAAGTTCGAGAAATTGTCATCTGAAAGGGTGTTAAAAGCAGTGGAATCTTCATACCTTACGTCCTAAGGTCGGCCGAGGTTGTACCTGTAAACGCAGGTACCCCAGGTACGCAGGTGGTGTGTTCTCTTTCACGACGTTCTTTACTTTAATACTTTTCAATGAAATTGCGACCTGTTAAAGATCAGTGACAACCTCTTGGAACGAAGAACATACATGGTTTTTAATCCCATATTTATTGTGTTTCGATCACCTCACTCACTTTTATCAAACAGCTAGAAATAGCTTCACTGACCATTCGCCACACTTCTTTTAAGAACATAAAAGTAAATAAAATAAGTAAACAAAAATGTAAACAAACAAACTATATTGTCAATTGCATTGGCCAGCTGTTCACTAAATTCATCGAATAATAACTTCCAAAACATGCAAGGCGTAGCCCTTTGGAAATCAGCCCGTGGGACAGAGCCCTTAGGGAGTTCGTCCATATCAATACTTTTCGGCAAATCTACACACTCTAAGCTCCATTTTGATATGCCATATGCCTATATTTTTATTTGGTAAATTGCCTTAACAATTTACATAAAATTAATAGTATAATAGATAATAGATAAATTACGATGTTTGATATAGACTATTCGTCGAAATAATGTCACAATAAACAATGAAAACCCACGTGCGACTTAAAACTACTTCTCCATGTCAAAATAATATTTTCAATTAAGAAATCCTATCACAGTGATAAAATAAATTGGGAAATGGAATAAATGGAGAATCGATGGGAGGTAGGGTGTGGGGGTGGGCGGAAAATTCCTATCAATCGCATCGACAAACAAGTTAAATTGAATTGAAAGCTTTTTCGAATCCAGAATTGAGACTACCCTGTTGGGAGTTGAGTTCCAACAATGGGGTTGCACCTTATTTACCTCGGGTTTGTCTTGTGTTTGTGTCTTATTCGTTAAAGACTCTATTTACGTTGGAAATAAGTAACTTCCATACCATAAGACAAGGTTCTATTTCTGAATGTCATTTTTACGTTATAGTAAATTAAGACGAATATGAGCTACAAGCTTACAACACTGCATTATTATTACTAAGTACGATATAGAATATTTCGTACCTAGGGCCAAAAATGAGGTTTTGCCGGATCGAGTTTTTAAATTCGAGACGATGTCGAGATATGATTCATTTCATGGTCATAAGTCATAAGTTCTTTATTCCAAAATAACAAATAACACTTTGTCCATTTCCATGGTTTGTGTGAAGTTTGGTGCAGATCCGTCTAAAGGACTCTGCCCCAGAGGGCTTTTAGGGGTCCAATGTCAAACTTTTGGAACTACTGTACAGTGTTTACAAATAAATATAACTAGAGGTCGTCCAGTGATCGAAACTCGACCAAAAATATGTAATTTACAGACTTCTCTTTTTTCACCCCACACTGTAAATAAAACATGTGATTGGAGTTTCTTCCATTTTTGTTTTGATTTTCTGTTTATATTTTGTTGTTATTTCGTCACCAGCATGGCAACCCATAAGATCAATGTAAATTTTTTCAAAAATTTAAATTCATTTTTTGTGCTAATTTTTAGTCTATTTAAATTTATAAAGGGATTCTGCACATCTACAGGAAAATATCTTTTCAACAGCATGCGTAGATTTC